TCTACATGTTACCTCCAGCCGCCGTGCAGCAAGACGCCCTAATTAATTAAACCATAAGCCGTAAGATTTAATCCCTAAGCCCTGAGTCCGAAACCTTAAACCCTGACCGCTGCCCTGATAGCCACCCACCCGGGGCTTCTTGGGAAGGATGCGTACTGCCGGTGCCAGGCCGCACATGGACCTGTCAACCCTCAGCAGTTCCTCTGCTAGGGTGTCGAGTTTCGGGCGTAGTATTTAGGGTTTAGGGTGTAGGATTTAGGGTTTAGGATTTAGGGTTTAGGGTTTCGGGCTTGAATTAGGGTTTAGGGTTTGCTTTGTTCACTACGCTCCAGTCATATAAGGGTCCGGTGTAGGGTGATCCTTCTTACACAATCCTTAGAACTATGGTACTGTCGTATACCTAGGGTCATGTGGGATTTTGTCCATAAGGCTTAGCAGCTAATGCTAGAGGTAGTTTCTAGATAGGGACAGACCCGAGTTGGAATCACGCGGTTTGGGGTTTAGGGGTTAAGGGTTTAGGTAATATCCCACAGAATAGTCCTTTTCGTTACTATTACGGGTAACAGTAGCGTTTAGGATTAGGGGCCCGGGTTCGATGGTCTAACTAATGTTCAGGGCTTGGGTTTAGGGTTTAGGATTTAGGGGCTTTCCGTGCCTCCGCGTCACCCTGGTGCTTAGTAGGCAATGGGGAATGGGTTAGGGCGAGTAGTGAAAGAATGCATGGAACATCAAACGGAAATTGCTATCTCTTTCCAGGATTTATGGCATTTTGAAAGGAACGGGTTAGACCCTGAACCCTAACCCTAAACCCTAAACCCTAAGCCCCATGAGGTTTCGAGAGCTACAGGGGGAGGGGTTGTAGAGGCGAGGAGCCCTTCCCTCATTCCTTGCTACGCACCAGGTAGTTGTTTTAGGGTCTACTGGATCAATGTTAGGGATCCTTTATGGGTTTTGGGTTTAGGGTTTAGGGTTTAGGACCCCAAAAGTATGTAAAATAATGGCCTTTTGGGCTGTTGTCATGGGCTTAGGGCCATTATTTTACATACTTTGGGGCTTTAGGTAGTTCTGGAGACATACCCCATGGTTCACTCTCCGTTTGTAGGGAGAGATGTTGGTTGTTGCGAATATGTTTCTGGAGCCATAGTTTGGATTGTCATTGTCTTTGCTGGAGACTGGAGGTTCATGTTCTGGTATCGCGATCACATCTTTGCCATCAGTCGAAAGCCGGGGAAGCAGCAGAAAACTGCGGATGACCTGACGCTGGAACTTGCAAAGAAGCACCATTGCTCCTTCATTGAGCTGGACAAGGTGGGGGTTTTCAAGTTGGGGGGAGCGGAGGGGGTACGGTACACCTTCAAACCCTCAATACCATACGAATATGACGAGATTATAGAGGCGTCAAAGGTGTCTCCTGTGGGAAGCATATATTTCATCTCAAGGAACTTCCATGGCGTTGCTAGAAAGAATTTCTATTCCCATGACGGTCTACTCTAGTATCCTGGGAATCTTTCACCTTTGAGCCGATGGGGCTTTTATTGGGGGAGTTGATTAACGAGAGTTCTCATTGCTCCCACCCCCCTGAACCCTAAACCCCTAACCCCTAAACCCCCACCCGAACATGAAGCCCAAAGAAGACTCATTGAGGGCCATCCAGTAAACAAAAGAATATGTAAACCCTATATGAGCTATAGTCTAAACTCCTGGAACGGCGTTATGTAGGGGATTGCATAGGGAACTATTACAAGGGTGATTGAAAGGGATACTAGGAGTTTAGACTATAATTAGCTCATATAACGCTTAGCCCGTAACTACAGGCCTCTGACACCGAAGCCCTAAACCTTAAAACCCTTAAACCCTAAATCCTTAAACCCTGAAACCCTAAACCCTTAAACCCACCCCGAAACAACCATCTGTCGGAGTCTGAGTTACCACTTTGAGTTCACTGTCAAGGCATGTGGCGAGTGTATGGGTTCAGGGCTTAGGGTTGAGGGTTTAGGGTTTAGGGCTTAGGGCTTAGGGTTGAGGGTTGAGGGTACTGTAGCCTAAGGCATGTCCCAAAACCTTCAACCCTAAACCCTCGACCCTAACCCCAAATGCTCAATTTCAACCCTTTAAGCTGACCTTACCCCCATATGCTCATTTTCCAGACCTTTAAGGTGACCTTTGTGTTAGGGTGGTGGGGTATATACCCCCTAAAGCCCCGAAACCTCCCAAAACCCTCAACCCTAAACCCCCAAAACCCTAAGCCCTAAATGCGAACCCTGTGAAGGTAAATTTGAAGTACGATAGGGGCCTAAATAATTACCATTATTGTGGTTCCATATTCCTTGTATAGTTATAGTATATGGTACCTCAAAATAGACCTCAGAAAGAAATTGCTAATTATTTAGGTCGCCTAAACCCCAGACCCTAAGCCCCAAACCCTAAACCCCAAACCCTAGAATCCTAAACCCTAAACCCCAAACCCTAAACCCTATTCTCCAAACCCTAAAATCCTAAACCCCAAACCCTAAAGGTGAAGTTGAAGTACGATAGCTTCGACCTCGACAAGTCAGGACTGATTGAGTACAAGGAGTTCGAGGCTGGCAAGAAAGGTTTTATGGCGTTTTAGGTTTTAGGGATTACGGTTTTAGGGTTTAAGAAATTTAAGGGATTAAGAGTTTAGGGATTCAGGGCTTAGGGTTTCTGGTTTTAGGATCCCATTTTGAGGGCCTTTGTAAAATGGGTTGTAGTAGCTAGGGGACCTGTATTGGGCTCCCCGATTTGAGCCTTAGTCTAAACTCCTTAAAGGGGGATTCTGTAGGGGTTATATAGGGGGGAGTATACTCGGGGTTATTAAGGGGGATACTTGGAGTTTAGACTGTATCTCATTGATGGACATTACCAGAATAACCCAATGATGAACCCCCTGTAACGGTAGGTTATTGGTTGGGTCAATCCCCCACCTTGCAATGGTTTCCAGAAATCACGTTTGTAGGTATATTAAGGCCCATAACTCCGGTTTAGGTGATATTATTGTAGGGGGATTGACCTAAGTTAATGGGGGCATTATGAGGACTACCTGGTTATATAGGGGGCACATGAGGACTATATATGGGTTATGTAAGGCAATGGGATTTCCACCCCGCTAATCACAAACACGCACTAAGTACTACTATATAACTTGAAGAGCAGTCATTACCAGGGGGCGGGGCCCGTCAGGCGGTTCATTATTAAGGGGATGGGGGTGCTATAGTCCCCCATGTAAAGCAAGCTTATTTGTAAGAAGGTGTTCTTGTTCGGTTCTCTCCCGTAGGCCCTTTACCAGGTCTCAGTCATATGGAAGTGCCTATGCGAGTGTTGTGGAGCCCTAGACCCAAAACCCTACAATTAGGCGTTTTTCTGACCTCGCTAATACTGGGCCCACCTGCGCCGAACGCAGAAGACCACAGCCCAAAACACTTGCGGCTACTCTAAGTTTCCTGAAAAGTCATGTGGCAAATTCCATAGATAGGGGGGCCCCCGTATAGACCCCAATATACTATAATCCTGATTGTGGGGACTCCCCAGAAAGGAACTTCGAATTTTGGGAAACTCCCATTTAAGTACTCTGTAATTTCTGGGGTTCTTGGAGTCTTCCACTTGTTGCAGCATGTAGGCCTTTGTGGTCCGTGGAAACTCAGCAATTCGGTCGCGGAACGAGTGAACCATGCTTGGAGGCCATGATGTTTAAGCTGCTCAACTGCTCCAGCAAGTCTGACTTGCCGACGAATCGTATGTTGCGGTTCTGGCAGGAGGTCGACAAAGATGGCAGCACTGACTGATTCCATGTTTCAGGGCTTCTTCCTGAAGGTTTTGGTTGCAGGTTTAGGTATTTCTTGGAGACTACGCACGAAAATCCCACAAGCAACAGCTATCTAACAAGGCAGCCATGCTTTGAGCAAACCTAGCTTAGTAGGTTCCGCGGTAGGCCCTTTTCCTTTTCTTAGGAGCCTAGGTTCCTCAAAGAACTATAGAACTAGGTTGCACTGATTGATGCATCTTGTATTCCTAGGTTGCTGAGGATCCTAGCTTAGGCAGTGGCAGCGTGGACTTTTGCGAGTTTACGGACTGGTACTTCAAGTACTTCGCCAGCGCTCAGGAGCAACGGGGCTCACTCCGAGTTGCTGCGTATGGCATTAAGATTAATTATAAAGCGTGCCCGCCTTGGCTGGCAGGGTGTGGAGCACACGAAGAGGCGGGGGAGTGGGGGGAGTGGGGGGAGTGGGGGAGGAGGGGGGAGTGGGGGAGGTTTTGGGCGAAAAATGCTGCTGCCACGTACCGTTTTAGAGGGACTGTATATCTGTGTTGTGGTGAGTAAGGAAACCCTAAACCCTAATCCCTGCAGTCTTAGCTGAGGGCACGCGCAGCCGGAAGCTGCCCTCCTACAGAGGTGTTATAAGAACAGCGATGTGGGGGTACAGAATTTCTGGGACTTCCCCCGAGCACCTTGCAACGGCTGGCGAATTTGGGGATACTTCAGAAGCCAAAAAGGGTATCTCCCAGACTTCAATGTCTTCCAGGCTGCAGGGGCCTCCGACGAGGATCGTTTAGTCCGGCTTCCTCCCGCCTGGGAGCTTTCTGGTGCCTCGATTCTGGACCCATTCTGGCGTCTCCATGGCCACTCCCAGACGAATTCTGTTGCCATTCCACCAGAGATAAGATTGAATTCCTGTTGCCCTTCCGACTAATTCTGAGTGCCATCGTGCCCAATGGACAGATGCACAACAGCCCCACAGAAAGCCAACACCGACCCCTCAGCCTTGAGCATGCAGCCTTGGAAGTAACCCAACATCGCGTCACACCCTGTGCGTGGCCTGGATGTCAAATTATCAGGCAAAACAGCCTCACAGACCCATAGCCGTTGAGAGCGCGGCTGTCCTTCGCAGCCTCGGAAGTAACCCAACATGACGGTCCTTGCGTGGACTTCGATGTCAACGTAGCTAGCCAAACAGCTTCGCAGAAAGGAAGAACCTCCAAGCACATCAATCCACGCCATTCCCCAATTGAATGGCGGCGCCCGGCGTTGCTGCTTGGGCCCCCGCCGAAATGCCTATAAATCTTTAGGAACTAAACCCTGACTCGTTTGAACTCCGGATGGTCAAAAAACGGGTCAACTGCTACGCACCTGTGCGAGCGGTCTGGGGTGCAGCCCGACAGCAGCGAGCACCCCATGCCGTCACCACACCTAAACCCTAAACAACAACCTAGCGAAGCATGAAGGTGCACTCCCCAAGCCAACCCGGCGCTTCAAAGAAAGGGGCTCCACAAAGATTCACCATCTAGAGCTTAGGGCTAGGTTAGCCCAAATCCTGCATGACTTTATATAGTACTTACCTAGACTCTGAATGTCCTTCCTTTCTTGTTGTCCTGGTCTTCCTTTTGTACAGTGTATATCAACAACTGTAGGACATCCAGAGTCCAGGTATGTACTAGGAAGCATGCAGGTTTTCCTCCATCAGACTTATGCTGTGAAAAGCATTCTTAGTCGATGCATTCTATGTATTTGGGGGACAATATCACAGAGCCTTACCACCATGAATGAACTGTCTCTTCCAGCAAAATGCCATTCCCAGACCCCCTATAGGACCTAAAAGTTAGATCCCCCAGAACCATATGGGTATTTATATAATCCTTATTATTATATAGGGGTCACAATGGGTCTATATGGGGGATCTAATTTTCAGATCCTCCCAGGGGTCTGGGTTTGAGCACGCCTTAGGCCGAATCCCTTATTCAAACCGTGGTTTACGGTTCAGGATCTCCTAACTGGCGCTTAGGATAGAGCTGGGGGAGTGAATAAAGGTACTCGTATGGTGCGAATTTGGATATGGCATGCTTTCGGATCTATGACTTGGGTTTTAGAGTTTACGGCTTAGGGTGTAAGGTTTAGGATTTAGGGTTTAGGGTGTCGGGATCTAGGTTGTTTCCAAGCGCGTGCTTGGCCAAAGCGCGCGTCAACACGTTGATGCTCAGCACCTTGATTAGGTAGAAAGAGTAGCAGTGAACCCTAAATCCTATACCCTAGACGCTAAGGAAACCGGGAGTTTGGCCCAGGAGTTCTGAAGAATGTTGATGGGGATCCACTTTGAAGATCCTCCTAGGGGGGTTTAGGGTTTATGGGGTTGGTCTCTGATTGCCCCATGTGCTTTTCTTTTTTTGGCTTTGCACCGCAACGAGCGTTAGCAATGTAAGCAATCTGTCAGGCGCTTTGTGCCCGCGCATTCGGGGTGGCCGCTATGAAGAGCTGGTATTGAACAGCCCGAAGGCCCATTGATGGATACCACCGGCTAGTATCGGCTCGGGGCCACCGTCAGATGGGTGGTTGTCAAAATTATGGTCCCTTTTTTGGTTCCCTATTATAATACGGCACCTAATATTTAAGGTACCCAAAACAGGATCATAATTTGACAACCACCCAGATTCAGGAACAGAACCAGAGCAAACATCCCATCCCCCCCCTACCCCAAGAGCTACTCGCATGCCCGATGTGTGTTGGCGGGGGGCCTACCATCAGCAAGCATCAGAAAATGCGCATAGGTGGATGGCGGTACTTGGAATCGCGGGCTAGAGTAGTCTTCTCTCATGCTATCCCAAGCGAATGAAAAACCTAAATCCAAGTCTGTGCTTACGCGAGCACCACAGCCGCTAAAAGATGCGCATGTCAGCCACAAAAACCTTAGATGCTAGCCCCATGAACGCTAGATCCATACACCCTAAACTCCGCATTCTAAATTTCAGAATCCCTTACATCGTAGATGCCACCGGGCTTACAGGAGAACGGCATTGTGGAGGCCTTCTATGCATCGTTCCTTCCAGATGTGCAGCGAGACTTGTTTCGGGATGGAGGGCTGTCACTTAAGCACACAAAACCCTAAACACCAAACCCTAAACCCCAAACCCTAAACCCTTTTAGTAGTCGAAGGTTTGGAAAAGTGGGCCCTCAGTATGGGCCCTTAATCTTACGGTCGCAAGATACCTGTTGCAGGCCTTAAGTAGATAAACACTTGAAGCAGGGCCCAGAATCCCTCGGAAAAGGCTAAGGGCCCAAACTAGAGGCCAGATTTCCAAGTTTCCATCAGAAAAGTTGCGTATGCCCTGCGGAAAATGGAAGACATCTGGCACTGCTTGGGAACCCCACAGGATGTTAATTCCACGGGCATTGGGAAGTTTAGATGGTGCATTATTTCCTCCCTCCACAGTAGTCAGATTGACCGGGAATTAGCCTAAGCAGTCAGTCATCAGGGCATTATCCCGCATAGTCGTGTGTACATACACCATACCGATGACAGCCAAGTCTGTAGTTACTTCCCACTCCATCCAAAAGCTTTTCGACGGCCACTTGTACAGATCTATTTGGTAGTTTCCCAAAATAAGGGGACCCCAATATAGACCCCAAAGTATTATACTCTTTATTATAGGGACCCCCAAAAAGGTACCCCCAATTTTAGGAAACCCCCATTTTCTTCCTGATACCATGTTAGCTCCGCAGTCCTTATAAAAGGGGCTTTAGGGTTTAGGGTTTAGGGGTAACTATAGGAGGGGACTTGTCAGGCAGGAGCCCCAAAGAAAGCCTTATATATCCCTCATGCACTTCCCCATATCCCCAATATACCCTGCATAAAGAACTCATATAAAGTCACCCCATAATCTAAGGCAAAATCATGGGCCCCTAGTATGGGCCCTTAACCTTGGGATCCTATTTACCTAATATATACGCAGTAGCCCCCCCAATAACCTTAGGAGTGAACATCATCTTGAGTGCCCTAACAAAGTCATGTAGGAATTGTAGAATCAACACCCTACGCCCTACAAGTCTAAGACCTAAAATGGTAGTGTTCATTTTCTTTTCCTTCATTCCAATATAACCCTCAACCCTATATCTGTCTGAATTTTATAAGACCTATATTTAACATAGTGAAGTCCTAAACCCCATAGACCCCAACCCCTAAGAACCCCTAGCCTTAAACCTTCAACCCTCAACCTTACTCCCCCCAAAACCAATGCTGGCTATGAGGAGTGAGCATCTTGGGTGCGATGTCCTCTGAAAGATCGGTGGCTTCTTTGAGCCCCAGGCAAGGAGAGGAGGAGGCCTGGAGACATGGGTTTAGGGTTTAGGGTTTAAGGGTTTAGGGTTTCAGGGTTTAGGGTTTAGGGTTTAGGGTTGCCTTGAATAGCGTTTGGCGGGTTTAGGATTTTAGGGTTTTGGTGTTTTAGGGTTTAGGGTTAGTTCCCGACCTCACGCGGCATGGTGGTTTTACATAGGGAATAGTACTAGCATGGCCTTAAATTGGAAATCAAAATGATTCTAAGGCACCGTGCATTATTGCTGGTGTTGCTATTACTACTGCCATCAATATTAATACTGTTTTTACCGTTCTTATTAAGTTACGAGTAGTACAATTGTTACGATTGTTATTGTTACCTGTCTTGCTATCATTACAATTAGGATTGTCCTTCATCTTTGTTCCTAGTATTATTTTTCTTATCATTACTATTGTTGTTACTGGTATTACTACAATTGCTTCATAGTTGCGTTGTGGCTTTGGGGTTCTGGCGTTCACGCTTAGGTTGCAAGGTTTTAGGGTTTGGGGGTTAGGGATTAGGGTTTAGGGTGCCCTAAGCCTTAAATTGGAGGTCCAGGGCCGTGTAATCTACTCGGTAGCATTACCTATACCTGGCGGATCTCTTGACCCAGTAAGTCTGCTTAGTAACAGGGGTTATGGTAGTATTAATGATAGGGGCGGTTGTGGATAGTAGGAAGACTTAACAGGTCGAAAGATCATCCAGGTAGAGGAAATGGTTTAAGGTTTAAGGTTCAGGTGTTACGTGGAGGTCCAGGATAAATGAAACCCACACTCCCGGAAACTAACATGGAAACCCAAAAGGAGTCCTATAAAGACTACAGTCCTTCTGAAAGGGGACTATATAGGTTTCCATGTTTGTTTGGGGGAGTGTACTTTGTGACTGTACCTATAACCTAAACACATCTTGGGTAAATGCACCTGGTGGACTTGAAGTGTGTCATTTGGTTAGAAGCACGCTGACTTCACTAGGCGGCTTTCAATTGCCCCGACCTTCGAGGCTTTACTGTGAGGTTCA